TGGTTATTCGTGTAGTGAGGTTGGAAAGAGTGCAGATAAGAGAGTGGAATGGAGACGTGTCACTGAATCCCCATGTTCCACAAGGAACATAAGGGTCGAATAATAATAACAAATCCTTCACTGACTACAAACCTAACAGGAAACTCAACAATATGGTCAGACAGACATAACACATACATAACAATTGTAAAATAAATGTAAGTGTACAAGAGATTTCGAACAACATGATCACATGAGTTCTTGTCTAACATATTTATTTATATGAAGGAATTATAAAAAGTGTATAAACTTCACAAAATGAAGAAAGGTCAAATGAGATGACCTAATTCAAGGTCATAACAACAATAGAAATCAATTGAGCGAAAACAATATTTTCGTCAAAATTACTGAGGAAGCTTTCATATGATAACAGACTGTTTGTAAGCACACATAAAAGTATAATTGTTTCTATATGATACCGTTGTTGATTGGACCCAATTGATCGGTCTCTATTAGCATATACGCTCCAGTGTGGATGTCTCGATATTGCCTGCATTCTAATTGTATTAATGATGGATCGTGGCTAGAAGTGGAATCCAGGATGCGCATTTCATCCTATTTGGGACTCACCAGTCAGCTGGATGTACCTGCAGTCTCCAGTGAGTGATGTTGCTCCCACTACTTTTCGGAATCGGGAGTGATCGCCTCAAACGCCACGGCGTTATCCACTACACCACCTAACCACGATAGCCTCTTCTTGTGCGATGGGTATAGTTTTAGTATAATTGCTTCTGTATGATACCATCGTTGATTGGACCGAATTCATCGGTCTCTATTGGCATATACGCTCCAGTGTGGATGCCTCGATATTGCCTGTGTTGTAATTATATGGAAGAACAACATCACTCACTGTGAAACAGGTACATCCAGCTGACGTGTCCTAAATAGGACGAAATGCACATCCTGGATTCCACTGCTAACCACGATCCATCCAACAGCAATTCAGACACAAAGCAAGTTCAGGTGGATTGAAACGTCTAGGTTGTATGACAACCATTAAAGCAGAGGACTGAACACAAATTTGATGCACATATTGATACTAGGAGCGAGTATTCACAGGGAAGTTTGTCATCATCATCATCAATATCATTAGAGAAACAGACATTACTGCATAACGGTCAGAGTTGCCACACCTCATATCACTACATCAAGTAAAAAGGCAGTGAAGTGCAACACGAAGAAAGGGAAATTCAGTCAAAAGAAATATAAAGTACTCAAAGAGAGAGAGAGAGAGAGAGAGAGAAAGGGAAGAATGAGAATATGGTGAGATTCGGTATAGTCTCGTTAAGATGAGGATAATGTGTGTGGGTATACATCTGCACCACTCACATTGGTTCTCAGCCATATCATCTAGAGTCAGTCTGCAAACACCGGTTCCTCTTGTCCCCCCACCGACCCCAACCACCTAGTCTGCATCGCCCCACATAGTTAAAACCAACAGTTAAACACTTCATACATTGATCCCATGTTTTAGTCTGGCCACCTCGGGTCTTTTTCCAGCCTGGACCTACTTCAACCAACATTATGTGACGAGGCAATCGGTGACTAGGTATACGTAACAAGTGTCCAAACCATCTCGGTCGATAACAGGGAAGTTTGTGTAACCTAACTGAAGTCAACCCGTTACAAGTTTGCGTACAAGACTATAAGTCACACCTAATGTATGAGGGCTTACGATACCACCTGGCTGTCCTATATGAAGTGGAAGGGAGTGGGGATCGAGATGAGGACTCATTGCTACATCGTTGAGAGTTTTTGTAGGTCAATGAGCCATATGTATTCACCAGTAACTGTACCACCGATATTATTGAAACTTCCGAAGGCAACAGCTGCAGTTCAAGTGTAATTTAAACACTGTTTCAATAAGACACATTCATGTATACAGTTTCCGTCTTATCTCACAATAATGCTGTATGATATGCAGATACATGGGTTCGACCCTTGGAGGACCCCTGCTAACCAGTCCCATACTAGGAAGAAACAGCTGTCCAGCGCTCTCACGTTTACAATGTTTCTCCAACTGATATCACTCCATAATAAATTCCAACTTAACATACATGTTTGTCATCAACGAAATTCAAGCTCCACTTGACTTGTCTCTCTGTTTTTACAGAATGGGAAAAGTGCTTAAGTCAGGAAAGAGTAGTATAAGGTCTAATTATGTGCAAATTAAAACTAAACTTTGAGATGATGGAGAATTTTTGTAGCTCAAGAGGATGATTTTGACGGTGTTGTGTTCCCTTAACTAGATGGTTTAACCGTGAAGCTTTCATTGCCGTTCTAGACAACATCAGCAGCAGTAGCACGAACTGCAGAAAGAAGTGAGCTATGGGGTTTTCTCCACAAGTGACTTAGTAGCTTGTCCTGATGGCCTCGTGTGACTGATTACTATTGCCAAAGTCTTACAATTGACACCATACTTATTTCGATTGGTTGTCTTGTTGACGTGAACTTTGACCTGCTCCTCGTTTCTAATTGGCTGACAGGTTGATTCAATGTCAATATGTCTGCTGATCACTGACTAACATCTGCATGCCAAGCTTCTTAAAATTCCCTGCAACTCTTTGTATTTCCTCTCTCCAGGATTTCCACATTTTCCCAGTTAAATTCATGCTCACCGTTGTCTGTATGCATTGATATGAGAGAAAGTGTCACGATGCTTCAACGCTAGTTGATGTTCATATCACAGATATCCAAGGAGGACGACCACTCCGTCCACAGTCTCTGCAGATTATTTTGTGGTTTGTTTTCCTTTGCTATTGCATCTTTTGGCTTGCATAGCACAGAGTGAAGAGATTTTGTGAGCATGTGAGCTACAGCCATTCCAAAAAGGTACAATAATCTAGTTGTAATCTCGTAGACGTTTTTCATGTAAGGTAAAAGAAACTGTGTTGGTTTTTGAGGATGACATCAACCAAGAATACATCCTCGGAAACCAAGAAACGGACTTTCTTACCTTACATGAAGAACGTCTCCAAGATCACGACTAGATGTTTGAAGCCATGCCTCACTTCTTCCTGAAGTTTGTGCTGGTAATGCTGTCTAGGATGATAATGAAAGCTTCACGATTCAACTCAGAGAACACAACACCATCAGAAACCAAAGCTCAACAATTACAGGTGACCTTGTCATTTCGACAGCGACACGATCAAGTAGGAACTCACATAATGAGCTGGATTTTTTTTTCAAAGTGGCATTCACCACTGACTGACATCAGTTGAGGAACCACTGAACAGCTCGTTTCATCTCAGTATGAGACACCTTAACAGCTCACACCCATGACCCATCAAGTTTCATGGTGAGCACATCACCAATGAGTCCTAAAGTCAGAATCCATTTGATTCGCCAAATAACACAACAATTATCCAATGCCATCGAGGAGTATCTGTCATCACCTCACACTTAGTTCGCCCTACCAGTCACAACTTCCCATTGGAACTATGGGAAACCGCATTTCGGCGCATTCCACTAGTGAACACTTGGTCATCTATGCAAATTTATTGATTTCAAGGTGATTAACCCAACTAGTTCATTAATTACAACGTTTTTCAGAAGTCTAAAGAGTAGTTACAGAGCATTCTAACACCCTAACCAATGATCCCATTCATTTTCAAATCAGGAATAAAAACGCTTAAGAGATCAACGTCAACGACAATGCTTCTACATCGTTCAGAAACTTGGCGCGTTACGAAAGGCATTTCCAACAAACTACAGATATTCATCAACAACTGCCTACGCTCACTCCTTACTGACATTGAACATCACATGGACAAAATAATAAGAATAAGCAACAACGAACTCACTCTGGCTGATCCCACAACGAACCAACCAACAACCTATCACTCAGCAAATATGCAGAAGTGAAGATGGATTATATTGGGCATGCACCGAGAAGGCCGATTGAGGATATCATACACCAGGCCAGGCACTCGAGTGGAACCTACATGAGAAACGACGAGTTCGGCGTTCCAGATGAGGGTGACACAGAGGAGATCGTATGAGGAAGAAATGAGAGCTTTTGGGCAGTCATAGAGGCAGGTTCAAAAGATTGCAGAGAAGAGAGTGAAATGGAAACATGCTACTGAATCCCTATGCTCCACTAGGAACTTAAGGGACAAATAATAATAAGAGATCATAACAAAATATTCAACAAACTATACATTAGCGAAAATGCATACATCAATCATATGAGGCTAAAGTTCACTGAAAACATCATCTCCACAACTTTCTCTCCTGATGAACAAATTTATAGCACACAGTGGTAGAACATCTTATTGTTTCATGAACTAATACTGATTCATCATTTACGTATATAATAATAATAATAATGGTAAATAATAATCAGATATACTTTTTTTCAAAAGGAAGCAGTAAAGATTTGGACTGTTACAAGTCTTCCCTACCGGAGAAAGTCATGATTACCTAATTACTACTGTAAGGCAGGATTATTATTATGATTATTGAATTTTGAGGGAGTTGTGGAGATTTGGAAATATTTCAAGTTGTTATTCATTGTAGACTGACATCAGCTGGAGGAATAAAGGAAACCTGGGAGCACTGGACAGCTGTTTCGTCTGACTAGTGTGGTACTCCTCAGCAGCGCACTGGCCATGGAACCTGAAGGTCCCGGGTTCGATCCCTGCTGGTGGGGTCGTGGGTGCGCACTGCTGAGAAGTCCCATACTAGAGCGAAACAGTTGTCCAGTGCTCACAGGTTTCCTTTGTCCCTCCAACTGATGTCAGTCTACGATGAATAACAACTTGGAATTATTATTATTATTATCATTATTATTATCTATCATCATTGTCACGACTATCAACACCATAATCACTAGTAAATCCCATAACATGACGTGACTTTAACACCATTTATATAAATGATAGCAGTAGGTGTAATGGTCTACTGAATACAAAAAAACAATTCCAGTATAATGGAGAAAATGAAGAAAAACAAAAACCCACTTTTTTTTTTCATCATCAGTGTTAAAATGACATGAATGAAGATTTCACATCACCTGAATGCATCGTTGATCAGTAAATACAAAAGTGAAATCCTTTTTTTTTCATATATAAAAACAAACAAATCAACAACACAACACAATCGATGTAAGTTAATTCATAGTATATCAAGAATAGCAGTTCTAATAATTATAGCGGGAGCAACGGTGGCGACAGCAGTAGCAGTGGTAAAAGAAATAATTAAAAAAAATCATAAGAAAAGCATATAGACTAAAATCCCAATCTTATCTAAAAGTTAGGCAATACTGTTTATCAGTTCTTTCAGTATTCAAATTACTATTAGTAATAATGTTAGTAGAAATATCCTGTAATTGATGAAGTATATGACTAGTGTTTATTTTATTATTTCAAGGAATTAAATTATTATTGCCAGATTGTGAATTGATTACAACTGATGCTGCAATTATCTCTTCATAACTTGGTGGAGGTGGTGTATTCGATGGTTTAACAGTTAATATTTGACTTGATGTAGCATTCTGTTCACTATCATCTAATGCACAATTAAATCGATGAATATGATTCGGTGATGATTTTGATAAACTAGATGGATTTATAATTTGTGCTTCATTTTGTAACCATTCATAAGTGGAACGATCTGCAATCAATGTACTATCAGTGGTATTAGAATTAGTTTCAATTCCAGACAATTTCACAACATCAGTATACGCCGGTGGAAGATCCATGTTTCTAGTTATCAATAAAAAATTGCAAACAGAAAAACAGTACAACTTAGCTCATTGGACTTATAGATTTATAAATTGATGTATTAAATACATATTATTATTTATATGATTTGTCCCTTGGGTTCCTAATAAAACATAGGGATTAAGTAGCACGTTTCCATTCCACTCTATTCTCTGCAAACTTTTCAACCTAGCTCCACGACAGCCCAAAAGTTCTCATTTCCTCATCGCACGATCTCCTCCATGTCACCCTCGCCAAGGACGCCCAACTCGTCGCTTCCCATCGGGGTTCCACTCGACGGCCTGACGCGTGATGTCCCCAGTCAGCCTTCTCAGTGTATGCCCAATCCATCCATATTTGTTGAGCGATAGGTTCTTGATTGGTGTATTAAATACATATTACACAATAATTTCAAAGCTCTGCATACATCACAAGACCTGACATCACTGTGTAAGGGGTCCAAGTTGCCACACGTTATGTTACTACATCATCATCATCATCCATCCATCCATCCATCCAGATCAACCTAGGACCAGGCAAGTTGCCACACCTCATATCACTACATCAAGTAAAAAGGCAGTGAGGCGCAAGATGAAGATAAGAGAATGCAGTCAAGACAAATACAAAGTAAGAAAAGAGAGAAACGAAGAATGAGAAAATGGTGAGATTCGGTATAGCCTCGTTAAGATGAGGATAATTTGTGTGGGTATAACATCTGCGCCACTCACATCGGTTCTCACCCATATCACCCAACTACTGGTTCCTCTTGTCCCGGGGACCCCAAACGGCTAGTCTACATCGCCCCACATGGCTCAAACCAACAGTACAGTACTTCTATATACTAAGCTGTAGTTTCTTTGGTTCTCGTCTTCGATCTTTCGACCCTAATACACGTTTCTAAACATCCATTGTATCTGTTCCATTAATTAGTCGAACAAAGAAACAACTAGGAATTTGTTGAATGTTAGCGGCTGATATTCGATATCTATGCATCGTTAACAACTATAGTACATAGCAGTTTTCAAATCATAACAAAATTACAAGAAACAATCAATCAGGATTAAAGATATTTAACTTCTACACAAAATTACCAAAATCCTAAACAAAATCCAACGTATAATTTAAAGGATTTGAGAGGTTGAACTTCACCTACTACTTATTCATTTTCTCAATGATACTACTATTACTACTACTACTACTACTACTGATTTCGAAGTATATGGTTGATTTATATCTTTCATTTTGGTAATAGACATAGAAAAAAACAAAATTGAATTATAATAAAAGAATTTAATCAGTTTCAATTAACACTCCATTTCATATCAAAATATATTTACCTACTCAAAGTAACTACTTATATGCAAGCAGAGTGTATAGGCAATAGGCTACACCCAATGATACTATCTGATCATTCACACTTTGGTAGAGGAAGTTAAGTTCAAACTCATGACCTATGGAGTGGAAGTTAAGTATCAAGACGAATCGAAAACACGCATCAATATCCACATATTTTCACATATGCTCTGCTAAGTTTAAATATGACAAAACGTTTATGAGTACTATATATAGTATGCATGCCTTTAACTAACATCATCATCATTATCAACATAGAACCAGGCATTACTGCGTAACGGTCCAAGTTGCCACACCTCATATCAGCACATCAAGTAAAAAGGTAGTGAGGTGAAGGATGAAGATAAGTGAATGCAGTCAAAAGAAATACAAAGTATGAGAAGAAAGGAAAGAGGAGTGACAAAATGGTGAGATTCGGTATAGCGTTGTTAAGATGAGGATAATGTGTGTATACATCTGCGCCACTGACTTCGGTTCTGAGACATATCACCTACAGTCTCCAACCACTGGTTCCTCTTATCCCGTGGACCTCAACCACCTAGTCTGCATCGTCCTACATGGCTTAAACCAACAGTCAGAGACTTCATACATTGGTGCCTTGTTTTAGTCTGGCCACCTCGGGCCTTTTTCCAGCCTGGACCCACCTCAGCCAACATTGTGTGACGAGGCAATCGGTGACTAGGCAGGCATACGTAGTACGTGTCCCAACCATCTTAGTCGATGAAGGTTCACAACCTCGTCAACTGATTTAACTCTTCTCCCTAAAACTCTACACCTAACTTCTGCATTACTCACATGGTGACACCACGGAATACGTCCTATACTACGAAGGCAACGGTGGTCAAACACCTAAAGCCTTTTTGTATCCTCCACTTTCAATGGCCATGTTTCACAGCCATACATTAACTAACAGTCACTTCGTAAGCCAGATACTACCAACTCCAAAACCCCAAACGAAAATAGAAAGAAAGTAAAGTAGTCTGGATAGAAGAGTTTATTTTCTTGGATAAGAAGGAAAATAAACCAAAACATTATATATATATATATATATATATATATATATATATATATATATATGATTTGGATTTCGCCGATGACCTGTGTCGCACAAAATCGAAGATCTATAGATAAAATCCAACAAGCTGACAGAAAAGGCAGCGAAGACAGGACTTCAAGTGAACGTAGAGAAGACAGGGGTGATGAAGATACCCAACCACCACCAACAACAACAACAAGCCTCAATCACCATCAACGGGAGAAACCTAAAGGAAGTAGCCTCTCTAACCTGCACCTGCGCAGGCAGTATTGTTTCAACTACAGGCGGAACAGGCACAGATGGGGACGTCAAAAGCCAGGATCGGAAAGACAGCAAGACAGGCCTTTATTAACCTGAAACCAGTGTGGAGATCTTCTGCACTCCAGTCAGCATAAAGCGTGAACAACATCCGGATTTTTAACACCAATCCAGTCAAGTCAGTCGGTGCTTCTATGTGATGGTTGAAAGACTTGACACGTTACAAAAAGCATTTCCAACAAAATACAGACATTCATCAACATCTGCCACCTACGCTCACTCCTTACTGAAGCTCAGATGTTCAGAAAGAATAAACAACATGGAACTCACTCTGGCTGGCAACGAACCAACAAAGCATAAACCTATCGCTCAAAAAAATATGCAGAAGGAAGTAGAGATGGATTGGGCATGCACTGAGAAGACCATTCGGGGACATCACACACCACGCCAGGCGCTCGAGTGGAACCCACATGGGAAATGACGAGTTGGGCATACCAGCTGAGGGTGACACGGAGGAGATGGTGTGAGGAAGAAGTGAGAGCTTCGAGACTGTCGTGGAGGGAGGTTGAAAAGATTTCAGAGAATAGAGTGGAATGGAGACGTGCTACTTAAGCCCTATGTTCCACTAGGAACCCAAAGGACAAATTATGTATATATATAATATACGACCTTACCCAGAATTTGTATACCTAATGTATTAAAAGCAAACCTTAACCAATCAGCGAACTATCTTGAAAAGGGTGTAAATAATGAACTATTGGCGCGAAACAGTGATTTAAATATCCATAGAAAAATAAATAATGTTTTATGCAGGTTTCTGCCTCCTAGAATAAATCTATTGTAAACTAAACTCATATAGTGACTCTTTAACTAGTAAACCCATTTACTTTCATCAAAAAGTTAATTATATAAATCGATCAAACCTAAATTATTACACATGCATTCAAAATTTGATACAAACAGATGTATTTTTGAGATGAATGGGGATTTTTTTAATTTAGAAGTAGTATTCATCATGGACTGATATCAGTTGAGGAAACATTGAAAATCTGGGAGCACTGGACACCTGTTTCGTCCAACTAGTATGGAACTCTTCAGCAGTACGCACACACGACCCTGCTAAGGATGGAACTCAGGACGTTCAGGTTTTACGGCGAACGCGTTAACCAGTCACGCTATGTCGTGAATTGACAGAAGTTGGAAATTGTGAACCACTGGGAACCAACCGAGTGGCTGAATGCTTAACGCGTTCACCGTGAAACCTGAAGGTCGTGACTTCGATCCCTAGCCCGGTCGTAAGGGCATACTGCTCAGGAGTCCCATACTAGGATGAAACAGCTGTCCAGTGCTCCCAGGTTTCAATGTTTCCCCAACTGATTTCAGTCCACGATGAATACTACCACAAACAGATGTATTGAATGTTAGTAATAATACACCAGGAAGTCTTAAATTTAGGTTCAAATATCTAAAAGTGTTCATAACCCCCAAAACTATTCAGATGACGACTATGACCGTCTCTATATGACTGAAGAATATACACAAACTGATCATCAGGTGGTAATCCAAAGTTTATCTACTATCAACTATATGGTGAATTGCGATTATCATATAATGCACAGTAGTTAGATGTAATAGTCTTAGTATTCAAGGTTTCACATGAAAATTTGATAGACCAACCTGGATTAACCCACTCATGAGACAGGACTTAATAATTACATCGCAATTGCTACATCGCCATCGATTACCGTGTGTACGGATATATACAAAAAAACAACATTGGATTAATAAGGGAACATGAAGATAATGCTTAAATGATACCTTCTTGGACACGAGTATCGACAGCAGAAAAGATGGCAAACGCCAGATAAACATCCTAGTCAATAGTATGTGGAATGAGTTATGATTAAATTTCGGGCATATTCTACTTAATTAAGTAGGAATGAGCAGTGGTTAAGTAAGGCCTTGCTTTACAGAACAAAAAGAATATGCAGATCAGCTTCTCTAGCCAACAACTTATTCCGGAGTGCGTTAAGGACAAGTTACCACTTTGGGCCACCTCGATGTGTGTCTACAAATTTACTTGCTCCTGTGGAGCTAGTTATATAGGCCTCACAAAGCACACGCTTTCCAAACGTATCTCTGAGTACTATCCTGCATGGCTGTCGAGGGGAGAATGTAAATCAATTAACAGTTCAATTCTTGAACATTTGGTCAACTCTGGACATCGGCAGCTCGATCACAATCCTCATTCAGTGTCATATATCATGTCAGGTGGAATAATTCAAAAGGAGTACTCCTTCGACAGTTGTGCACAGCGGAGGCACTGGCAATTCATCAATTCAAGCCTGATCTCTGT